TTTTCTCAACATTATACACACAATACCCCATAATGACAACGTTTTAAAATAATTTTCGCAAATGAATTAAAAATATCACATGTGCATAAGTATTCACACCCTTTACTCAATAGGTTGTTGAAGCACCTTTGGCAGCACTTACAGCCTCAAGTCTTCTTGAGTGTGATGCTACACGCTTGGCACACCTATCTTTGGGCAGTTTCTCCCATTCTTCTTTGCAGATTGTCTCAAGCTCCATCAGCTTGGATGGGGAGCGTCGGTGCAGAGCCATTTTAAGATCTCTCCGGAGATATTCAATCCGGTTCAAGTCTGGGCTAATTAACAACTAGTTGATGGTGAATTTGTGTACCTTAATATAAAGTGTTACCAAAAACACATATTTACATGATGTAGAATGATGTTGCTTTGAGTATTAGATGGCAGAAAATGAAGTTATTCGTTCATAAGTTATTCGTTTTTGACCCCTTGATTCACTCTCCATGCCTCCTGTTTATTTCTGACGTGACAACTATGTGTACAGCTCTTAAACTTTAAACCTGATGCAGCATATTCAATTGATATAGTCAAGAACTGGAGTGATGTGTGACACTGTTTCATAATGAAGCTCATGTGGAAAAAGAAAATAAGAAAATGAAAACAAATCGAAGTGAAATTATTTTTTGTGATTAATTATCCGGAATAAAAAACAAAAGACCAATCATGATTCTATCAGCTGCAATAAATCAGTGATGTTAAATAGACTTCAGCAAATTAGAACCATGCGTATATAATTCAAAGTGGTACCGTTATGGTTTGTTGGAATTATAATGCGTTTCACATGCAAGTAAACATCATATTGATAAATGATGCGGAAGAGATCATGACAAGAAAACACAATGGTGTCGTTGCTAAGATTTTATGGCTCAACAATTGTGGATATACCGTATATAAGATCTGTAGGATTAGTTGTTGTAGCGCGCTGGGCGGGAGAAAGGAGAGCCACCTGGCTGCAGGTTAACCTCCATTAGTAGCACGTTGATCTCGCTCTATAGTAGAGCCCTTTATTTTACTTACGAGTGAACATCCCACTGTGTTAAATTGCATACAGTCTGAAATATCAACCTTTTACTGAAATACCAATAAATGCACTATTTTATTCCTAAAAACTGCCCAGCCCACATGTTGGGCCTAAATGCTTCAGTCTGACTCGGTAGACAGAATATATTGAGTGAAAGACTTATTATTATCTCTCCATAATCTGAGCTGCTTACATTCTGCAAACACAATCAACTGATGAAGGTTCAACTGTTTCTTCTTTTCCTATATTTATGTTTTCTGCCCCGAAGCAGAACAGTGTTTTTATTTACCTTTGATTAAATGGCAGATCAAGCACAAGGCTTATTATTTCTGCTGACAACCAACGATTTTGTGGTGACAAATCTGGAACATTGTGCAATGTTATTTCTTCATAACTTGTCATAAACAACCCGTTCTGTAATATCTGAAGCAAAACAAACTATTTGTTTTTAAAATAAGTGAAAAACACATTTCTCACATTAAACTCACACGCTGTCACATCTCCACCAAGGCGCTGAAATAGGGCATAATGTGATGACGGTTTTCTTTATTCAGTGCACCGGAGATGAACCTATTAGAAAGTCATTTATTTTCCCAGAATAACGGCTGTTATTACTCTTCATCACCCAGGTGTCACGCTCATGTTGTTGCTTTGTCTCACACTCACAGCTGGCAAGCTTTGGAACTCCCTTCTCTCCGGTAGAAACAGGAAATGCAGGCTGCTAACCCTTACCCTTTATTGTTGTTTTATTTTTAAATTGCACTGTTGAGGTACCTGCAATCTACGTATTTAGTACATTACATAACTACACCGTAGTTATATGTCATGACAATAAACCTTTAAATTTTGTGTGACGGTATTTAATGTACAGTTTTACGCAGTTTACCAGTTATGTTTGCAGGAACTGTTTGTACACAGCGTGTTTGATGACACACACAAACAGCATTGAGTCGGACAGGAAGTGGTGGTGATAACACCCTCCCCCTCGCTCCACACTTGTTGGATTGGAACAGCACTTAATGACCCTTGACCCTTGCTTCAGTGTGTAGGGTGTAGGGGGCGGTCTGGAATTGGGCCTTTCTGTCAGTGAAAATAATGTGTGTATCAGCACTGTGATTCAGATCTGCTGCAACATTGAATGGGCTCTTCCTTGGATAATGCTGCATCCCCTGCCCCCCCACTAATTTGCATGAGGATCGAGCCAGTACTTTTTAAGACCAGACCACCCTACTTAATTACAATACTTGAGTTAATATACTGAGTTACTTTCAACCGTTGAGTATGACTTCATCAGCCTGTGAAGTTATTGTCATTTTGTAAATGTTTAAGTCACTCACTGATGCTAACAGTAATGGAAACATGTGTGGAAACCGGATTAGAACTAGGCCAATGGCACTACTTTAGTCTTCCTTCAACTTCATATTGTGCTAAATATAAACTGGGCGTATGGCTATTACTCCAATTTGTGAGTCCAACGCCTACTGTAAACTATGCAAATCAGTTCTGATTAATCGTCTTGTCACTAATCCTCTCAGTTCATCCCTTTCAGAGTGGAGGAAGCTGGTAATTATAGATGGAGCTTGCCCCGCTGCTCTATTAGTGAATCAATGTGACATGTGAGGCGCACAAAAGAACCCCCTGACCCCCGCTCTCATCAAAGTGTATCTACAGTATACAGTATTAGTTTGTGAAGCTCTACTATTAAAATCTTTCTCAGCTTGGTTTGTCTTAATCATTAAGTGTTCTTTCCTGACAATTACAAGGAAATATCTCAAACCGGACACCCCAACTATAGACAACTTGCACGACATAATACACAAAATATTTATAGTGGAAAGAATAACCTTTTTCCAGAACCTTCAGGAAAAAAAACTTGAAAACTGTGGAAGCGATATATTTGACAGTGAAAACCATCTCTTGCTTGCTTGTGCTTTTGTATACTCCCTGCATTTTGTGTGTGTAGTTTTCTTAACACAGAACACAACCCATGTCTACTCCTTTATTTTTCCTCATGGTATCGTTTACATTTTGGATTCATTTTACTTATTTATTGTACGTTGGTTTGTTCGCTATTTTTGGGTCACTACAAAACATTGAACTGTTAAATGAGCAAAATGATATACACATACTATATAACCCCAACTAAAGAATAATAAAAAGTTATGTTATTTCCTAAAACCAGGTCAGATCCACATTGTGAGTGTCAGTCGGGCTGCTTTATACATCACCTCTCCACATCTTAAGGTCTACTTGGTGTCAAACATCATACCTTGTCCTGTACGTGTCTGTAAGGGAACTGTTTGGAACAGTAAAACCTGGTTAGATAGAGTTTAAGGCTGACACCACATGTCATTTCTAAGACTTTGATAGATAAGAGTTTTTAAAGGTAAGTTTAATATGGTTACACTCCAACCAGTGCCAAATTGTAGCATGGCATTTTCAAAATAAAAGCATACTTGAATCCAGTGAATTCAAGAATCGACTAATGTAAAAGTCTGAATTCAACTGAATATGCGGACATCATCGGACAATCCAACTAATTAGTCATGTTGTTTACCTTTCCTTTTTGAGAGTAACATCATGTTAAACTGTCATCTGACCCTAACAACAGTGACGGACTCATCCATCCGGTTATAGACATCTTCAGTGGACTCTGGCGCAGAGTTGCTAAGAGAGTTAATATTTGTGTCGCTCGACTAACAGTCTGTGTAGCTGTAACTGCGATGACATCACTACTGTAAAGCTTGCTCTGATTGGATCAGCTGTTTTTCACCAGGGTACAAAGAGCACACTATATCTATTTACATCCAGAGAGCAGGCTGACTCAGAGGGCTGGAGCCAGGCAGCTGACACATTACTGATGCTTTGTACAACATCTGTTACCTCGACATGCTAATAGAACGTATGAATACAAATGTATTCATATTTTAGTTTGGAAGATGTTTCCCAGCTGTTGATATCATTACATTATAAAACAAATTGCCAGTAGAATATATAGGCACAATGCAAATGTGGAAATAAGCTAGGGATAATGACCTATTACTGTAGCCCAGCCAGGGATGAACTGGGAACTAAATCAGACTGCTTCAAAAGTATCTTTGCTTTGACAAAAAAATACATTTTGGATATTTTATTTCACCTCTCCTGTCTCTTCCTGTAAAATATTGAAATGTTTCAGAATCATCTTGGACTCAAGTATGTGTACACATCTATCATATTGACCAGAGGTATGTCAGAGCAGTGTTATAAGATGTGGTGCGTCGGAAATCAGTTGATAAAAACGTTTCCAAAGAATGAAGTTGACAGCAATTCATTTCTCCCTTGTTCTCATAAACAGAGCTGAGCAAGTGTGGGTGGAAACTCTGCAGCTTTATCTCTTTTCCATATCACCCTGTAGTCCAGATATATAACCACCAGGTTCCACAGTGTAATGAATATTAAACGGACTAGAAACCTGTTCTGTGTAGATGTACATTTGAAGGAAACACTTTCAATTTTGAAATAAACGAGACATGGCATACCAGTGAGAAAGAGCTTGTAGCAATGTTATAACATTAGCTCTACTGGTAAGGGGAATGAAGTGTGTGTACCCCAAACAAAAGCATAAAAACAAACATATTAGAGATGACTGCAGAGGAAACAGGCAAAGCTGTACTCACAACAAACTATGTCAATACATCATTTAACATGTAGTTTTAATCAGAAACTCAAGGTAGCAGCCACTCACACTACGCTGCATAACAACAGTGTCTAGTTAAAGCCAACAGAAAGGAAACCACGTGAAACCTGAAGAGAATCCCCCTGAATGTATTCATGGTTGAATGAGGAAGTACACATCTGATACATATTCCATTTACTGTACGCAGCAGGAGGGGAGAGACTCTATGACATGTATACAATGACAAATGTTGTCTTTTCTTATACATGGCTGTTAGAAACGTACCTGTTTCACATCATAGGCGAAGAGCACATATTTCAGATCAGGGGAGACGGAGTACTTTGCCACGTTGAAATTAATCTAGTGGAAAATAGAGAAAAATAAAACAGAGACTTAGACCCCGGCCACACGAGGACGAAAACGGTCGTTTGCGTTACTGTTTAGTGTCATATAGACCGTTCGGCCACACGAGGACGACCAAATACGGCACTAAACGACTGCGGAAACGATAACGGGTCCCAAGGTGGATAGAACGGCATACGCAACGCTCTGGGGGGGTCCAACGGCTCCGTGTGTGCGCCCTATACGATCATTTTCTGATAATGATGAGGCAATAGCCCCGCCTCTCCCCACCTCTGCTGCTCACCCCAGCGTCAAAGTAAACTGCACACTGAATTCAGATTATTTATCTTTCTCTCGATATGGACATAAACGCGAGTGAAGTCTAATCTGACAGGACGGAGACACCTCTCAAACTACCTAGTTATAAATATGTTTATTTTTACTGTCGGCCGGGTCACTCATTACTGGATCAGCTGCTGCATGAAACAGACACTGACGCTGTCCAAAGAGAGGGAGGAAAAAGAGAGGCTCCGTGTATTTTATTATTATATTATATAGAGTCGTTATTCATTTGTTTTAAAGCTCAATAAATAACAAAGAAGACCTTTGACCGGCACTTTTATAATTTTGTCCGGAAGATTTAAACTTTATTACACGTTGACTGGCGAAAAACTCTGCCCGGTTCCCTCGGCCCCCACCGCGGAGAATAAACAGAAGGGCAACCATGACAACCATGCTTCTTCGCTGCTTTTGTGGAGGAAGTTACAGCGCCACGTACAGGCTCCTGCATATGTACTGCAGCTTCTCCAGCGGTTGGAGCTAACCGGAGCGGTCTCGTGTGGGCAGACACTATCCGGTGAATATTGCGTGTGGACGGAAGCTTTTTTGCGATTGCGTTAATCCTATGCGTTTAGCCGTTTTCGTCCTCGTGTGGCCTTATTGTGTGCAATGTCAATCACCGTTGAGACCAACACATCATCACTATTAGGATATGGTCAAATACTCGATACAATACAAACACATTCAAACACACCTACTGCAGTCATAGGTGCACACACTAAACATGACTTAATAGTTACATTTTAGCTTGACATTTGTATGATATCACTCAAATGCATTGTTTTGTTAAAGACAGTTTTTGTTTTCATCCTAATTAACATCAAAATGGTTGTAAGCTGCTGTCCCCTCCTTCCCAAACAGAGCAACAGAAGAGTGCTGCTTTAAACAGAGCTCAATCAGTCCATACAGAAATACACATTGGACCGTACCATATGGTGACTCTTTTGATTCATTGAGTTAGAATATTTAAAAACATAACTGGGTAGCTTATTTATAAATACGTTTATTTATGTACTCTATGTTTATTTTTTTCTTTGGGTTTTGGAGTAAACGTCCATTTCATTTGTTTTGTTCACCTTTTTTTCTCTCTTATTAAAAGCACTTAAACTTGTTTGCAACTCAAGTCATCCTATTTTTCTTTCAACCACACTTTTGGTAACAATCATGATTTTATATTGTGATAAAACCTTATAATGTAACATAGAGTATACAAATCAATCTACTTACAAATGTGGTGTTTGTCAGGACAATCTCAGATTCGTTTGTCAGGATGTTGAACTTGATGACGTGGCCATCACTGTTTCTGTAGATGACTTCTGAGTCTGTGAATAGAAACAAAGGGAACATAGAAAAACAACATTTCAAATTGCATTTTGGAAGCTGTCCTTCGAAAGACAAAACCCCAAAGCCTGCAGCAGCCGACTCTTTTAGAAGTGAAGACGCCACCGAACAAATGCTGTCTGAGCCTCATCGTTCCCTCAAATGAAATAACAGACACAACACAGCTGACAGCCAGACATGCTCAACTTTGTGCAACTAACTGATTAACTGTGAGAATCAAAAGTGAGATTTCACTGCCAGACAAACACAAAGCCTGCGCTTTTATCTTCTAGGTAACACAGCGTGTTGATGTGAGGAGCTGTGTAGCGCCGCCAGGAGAAACATCTTGTGTTCTGAGCCGCATTGATTGAACTAGGCCGCTTTGTTTGTTTTGAGTCACAGCCAAACGTTCAGAAATGTAGCCTTAAATGTCACAGTATGGGGGATTGTCACCAACACAAAGGCATGAAAACACTCTGAACCTCAAAGCATGCAGACGTACAAATACATGGCATCAAACAATTAATAAGCAAATGTGTCTTTCTCGTACTTATTAACTTTATTAATGCTCAATATGCTAAAACACAGATGAAAATGATCAATCAGTTTATCTTTTTTTAGGTTATTTGACATTGAAATGATTCATCTGATGACACTGTGGCCATGGACATTGGAGGCAGTTGAATTACCAACAACTGACAGTATCGTCAAGAGCACGAGGCACGAAGCTCTCCAGTTCAGCAGCTCCTTTCATTAACGCCCAGAAACGAGGGGTTACGTATGGTAACCCTTGTTATATTAGCACAGGCGGAGCCCTCTACTGGACTCTATGGGTACTACCTTATCATGCAAGCATTCATCCACTGATACTTCTATAAACGTAGCCGGCCCCCGGGGCAGGCCTACCTGAATGCGAGCGCATCTCACCGTATAAAAGGAGGCCTCGCCTCCTGACTGTCATCCTACACCTCTCTTCAGCGAGCAGCATAGGACAGACAGGGCCCCGAGTAGAGGGCTCCACCTGTGCTTATATAACAAGGGTTACAATACGTAACCCCTCGTTATATAAGCACAGGTGGAGCCCTCTACTGGACTATATGGGCCCTCTATGGGCTCACTATGCACCACCTCTCCTGAGTCCCTAAGGAGCATGGGGAGAGAGCAAGTGCCCCATGTCCCCCACACTCAGACACGCTTACCCCGTGAAGAGCGTGTGAGGACTATGACGTGGAGGGCTCTCCCTCCTGCCCTAAAGCAGGGGGAAAGAGTCCTCCAGCCCCTTATGGGCCCAGTGCGCGCCACGTCGCCCAGACGCCACCATGCATATGTCCTCCACACTCACGCCGTTAAATAAGGCTGTTGACACAGCCACAGCCCGTGTAGAGTGTGCACGAACCCCCGTGGGGCAGGCGCCTATCCGTAGTAGGGATGTTAAGATTCACCGATTCGCATCGATGCACCGGCATAAACGTTCAAGATGCGAGTGCACCGGTTGAAAGAGTGCACATCGGCTACAGTTTGGGTTGAACTCACGATGCATCAATTGTAGTCTTTGCATCGGTAAAAAACCGGTTCATTCATATAATATCCCCTCATCCTGTCAACACTCAGCAGAGACGATCTTTGATCTTTGCTTTGCACATATTTAGCCGAGAGTCTCAGTTATCAACACACATGGAAGTTGAGGAGAAAGAGAAACACCGCGCACTGAAAAATACCTACACATCAAACGTTTGGCAACATTTTTCAAGAAAGACGGTCAACTTGAAAAATCACTCGCAAATTGTTAACGATGCCGAGCCGCTTTAAAGTACACAAGTAGTACGAGGAACTTAGCGATGCACATAAAGAGGCGACATGGGGTCTGCGGCTGAAAAGAGAAACCTGAAAGTTAGACGTATGAGTTAAATCACTCAGTGAGGTGTTCTGTCAGAGAGAGAGGTGTTTAGTTTACAGCAGCCTGTGACTGCCAATAACAGTTGAAATGTCTTCCTCACTGTAAGCAGCTATGAAAGACCTGTTTATGAAAGAGGTTGTTTTCTTTATTGTTCCTATAGAAACCAGTGCTTTCTGCTCACTGGTGAGTTAGCCTCTGGATGAGTGTTAAGCACATCAGACTGGCAGCTGTATGGGCATTGCACTATGGTAGCTGTTATTAGCACATTGTTACTCATAGGCAATGCATCCTTAAATAGTTTAACTGTGAGGTGTTATAACATTGAACTGTACTCTGGAGACAGAGAACCCTAATACACTTGTGAAAAGGCCAGTCTGTGAAAGGTCCAAGTGTTTGTTTTGTTTAAGGTAAAAAAGAAACAGCATGATGGGATGCGCAGTACTAGTAGAGAGAACCAAATATGTAAAGCACTTTTTTGTTAATGTATGATTTGCTGCATATGAGGAATAAAACAAAAATCCTCTGTCGTACCATATTGAATTGTATCATTATTTTGCATCGTGTTGAATCGCATCGTATCGCCACGAATCGCATAATGTTGAATCAAATCGTATCGAGCTGTATCGCAACAGGGGTGAATCGTATCGTATCGCCTGGTGTTTCAAATGTATCGTTAATGTATCGTATCGTTGGCAGCGTCTCGAGATGCGCATCCATCGGCCTCACGGAGCGTCCACACTACAGCTTCAAAAAAAGCTTGGAGCTGGGCGTGTCTGAAGCTTGGGGATTTTATTCGAGCAACGCGACAACCAACAACCAATCACATGAATCTCCCGCCCCCGACATACAAAGCAAAAAACCCCGGGGATTTTATGGGAGCAATATATATATATATATAAACTCCCCAAACAGGCGAAAACCTACCAGTTTCACCCACTGTCTCTGCCACCTCCCTCCATGACTGGTTCCTCCGGTTTGTATCCCGGTAGGTGAAGAGTCATACAAAACCGGGTGATTTGCTTCGGCGATAAATAGTTTCTCCTCCATCTTTTTTTGAAATATAGAAATGAACGGCGGGATATCTCTCCCAGCTTAGACGCGGTTTGATTGGCTAGCGCTTGAGCTGTCAGATTTTCAGAAACGGGATTTGATTGGCTGGCGCTGTCTACTCCGGCGTCTCCGGCGGAGACGGACTGCTATGCTACCCACAATTCAGTTCGGCGAAAAGCGAGGCAACGTGACGTCACCCCATTTAAAGTGAATGGGCAGACGCGTTGGAAACTGTTTTTGAAGCTGTCGACGCTGTAGTGTGGACGCAGCGTCAGTGATGGAGACGCACATCCCTAGTCCATAGGGATGTGCAATGCACTCGCAGAGCCAGCCTGCCAGGCGTTTCTTGGACCCCACCCCCGAAGCACGTGTGTGTGTGTGTGTGTGTGTGTGTGTGTGTGTGTGTTTGTGTGTGTGTGTGTGTGTGTGTGTGTGTGTGTGTGTGTGTGTGTGTGTGTGTGTGTGTGTGTGTGTGTGTGTGTGTGTGTGTGTGTGTGTGTGTGTGTGTGTGTGTGCAGTTTCTGTCAATCCACAGAAACTGCCCTCCTTGCTGTCACTGAGGAACTGCACACTGCTAAAGCAGCCTCCCTCTCCTCTGTCATCATCCTTTTGGACCTGTCTGCTGCATTCGACATGGTGAATCATCAGATCCTCCTTCGCGCTCTCCAAGAACTTGGAGTTTCAGGCTCTGCACTTTCCCTCCTCACCTCATACCTCAAAGACCGCACCTACAGGGTTACTTGGAGAGGGTCCGAGTCCGACCATTGTCAATTAACTACAGGGGTCCCTCAGGGCTCTGTTCTTGGTCTCCTCCTCTTCTCCTTGTACACAAACTCGCTCGGATCAGTCATTAGCCCGCATGGTTTTTCATACCACTGCTACGCTGACGACACCCAATTAATTCTGTCCTTTCCCCGCTCAGAGACCCAGGTCGTCGCACGCATCTCTGCTTGTCTAGCTGACATCTCTCAGTGGATGTCTGATCATCACCTCAAGCTCAACCTTGACAAGACTGAACTGCTTTTCCTTCCGGGAAAAGATTGTCCCACTCTTGACCTAACAATCAACATCGGCACCTCTGTTGTTTCCCCGACTCAGACTGCAAGGAATCTGGGTGTGACCCTAGATAACAACCTGTCCTTCACTGCAAACATCGCTGCTACAACCCGTTGCTGCAGATACACGCTTTACAACATCAGGAGGATGCGTCCCCAGCTGACCCAGAAAGCGACGCAGGTTCTGGTCCAGGCTCTCGTCATCTCACGCCTAGACTACTGCAACTCCCTCCTGGCTGGTCTACCTGCATGTGCCATCCGACCTCTGCAGCTCATCCAGAATGCAGCGGCTCGTCTGGTCTTCAACCTTCCTAAATGTTCCCACACCACTCCGCTCCTCCGCTCCCTTCACTGGCTTCCGGTAACTGCTAGAATCCACTTCAAGACAATGGTACTTGCGTACCATGCTGCTTATGGATCTGGCCCTTCCTACATCCAGGACATGGTTAAATCGTACACCCCAGCGCGTGCACTCCGCTCTGCATCAACCAAACGGCTCGCTGCACCCTCGCTGCGAAGGGGACCCAAGTTCCCAACGGCGAAAAACACGTGGGTTTGCTATCCTGGCTCCAAGATGGTGGAATGAGCTCCCCATTGACATCAGGACAGCAGAAAGCTTACACACCTTCCGGCGCAGACTGAAAACTCATCTCTTTCGACTCCACTTCGAGCGATAGAACTATTAACAAAGCACTTATATACTAATAAAGGGCTGGCTTATCTAAAGCCAGTTGAGTAGCACTTGAAATGTTTTTGCTCTATGAAGCCTGATGTACTTATATGATTCTGTTTTCTTCAAGTTTGTATTTTGTTGGTCGAACGCACTTATTGTAAGTCGCTTTGGATAAAAGCGTCAGCTAAATGCAATGTAGTGTGTGTGTGTGTGTGTGTGTGTGTGTGTGTGTGTGTGTGTTGTGTGTGTGTGTGTGTGGTGTGTGTGTGTGTGTGTGTGTGTGTGTGTGTGTGTGTGTGTGTGTGTGTGGTGAGGGGTCATGTCTGA